AGGATGGAAAATCAATTTCTTCACTTAATACTAATAATGAGATTGCAAACCAGGAACAAGACCAAATGGTCTTACGTCAACATTTGGGAGTAGATGCTGACATGGGAAGCATGTATTTGGTAGCGCTCATCGCTGGAGTTAGTGCAGCCCTTACAGTTGGAATCGTTGCTCTTGGCATAACATGGTACACGTACGTTAAATTTTAATAGCTATTAACATTTTGTTAACTTTTAATTTTTCTTTTATTCACTTTAACCATAAAGGATGCATAATAAAACAAAAGCAGCTGCTGATGTAGAGTATCCTGCGTACGGAGTAACAGGACCAAATAAAGATATATCACCATCTAGTGGTGACCGTAAGTTAGCCCAAAGTGCACAAATGTATCATTATCAACACCAAAAACAACAAATTATTGCTATGGAAAATCGGCAGGCTGATGCAGGTAACTGTGGACTATCTGATGTAGAAAGTGATGATGATAATGACGAGGAGGGTGATTACACTGTATACGAATGCCCCGGATTAGCACCAGTAATATAATAGATGAAATTTTTTTAATTTTTAATTCATTTATAATTTTTCATAGACTGGCGGTGAGATGGAAGTGAAAAATCCATTATTTTTAGATGAGACGCCATTAACGCCATCTACAGCAGTACCACAACAACCACAGAAAAAAATTCCAGGACCAAATAAAACAAGCACAACTACCGCAACCTCAACAATTGGCGAAGAAAAGAAGTCCAAAAAAAGTAAGAAGTAAAAACACTAATTGGATTTGGCAACTGTTTTTAATTACAGAAAATAATATTCAATATGTTTTCCTAAGATATTTTAAATGATTTAGTGTAACTCAATCATTTACAATACTATAAGTGAACATTTTTAAATACTACAATTTACAAAAAATGACTGGAATATGATTCCTAATTCAATTTGCTTGTAATATGCTTATGTGTACTTCGAAAACTCTTCCTTAATCTTTAGTATCTTTACTATAACCGACAAAAAGAACACTAACATGTCTTTAAATGTAATCACGACTAGTAATATTAATAAAAATAATTTTTATATACCTTACTTACTCAAGTAACTAAAGAAATTATTTATAAAAATTATTTATATCTGAACGAATTTAAATTTGGTTTAAACTAAAATTGATTTTTTTTAAGTTATTAATAATTAATATTTTTTTGAAATATTATCATTATTATTAAAATAAAAAAACAAATAAAGTAGTAACTAAAAGCTGATGTGCTCGGAAAATTCAAATCAATAATTTTGAAATTTATGTGAACGTTAACAATATAATAACCTTTTTTCTAATAATGATTACAAAAATGGAATGATTGAGTATGTGAATATTTTTTAGTATATATAAAATGTTTGTCTATTTATTAGTATAAAATATATTTATCTAGAAACTATGCTACATATTTATGTAAACATAAAAATAAGTGAAATAAATACTATATATATATATATATATAGGTATATTATATATATATAAAATTAAACAGTATATACAAATGCATTCAGAAAAGCATTCTAATGAACTACTGATTTTGGGCGTAACTTAAGAAAATTATATGAGTAAAAAATAACAATGCTAAAAGAGCTGGAGATAAATAAAATAAAAATTGTATCATCCGGTAGTAGAACTCTCATTAGGAGGAAAGAAACGCTTACAAATCATCTCTAAACAATACATTAAGGTTCGGTGCACACGACGATCCTAACTCGCTCAACACTGCAACTCTATCACCTTTGTTGCGAAAGCTGCAAGTACGAGTAACTGGACTCGCCGGTCACGGGGGTTAATGTGCTCTATACAGTAAATTAAATCTGTATCACAACCGCAAATAGTGTAGAGTTGCATTGCCGTACATTTTAAGAATGGTCGTGCATACTGAAATTAATAGTGATTGTTTTTTTTTTTAGAAATCTATGTCATAAAAAAATGTTATATAGATAAACATAAATGATGTGTGCGAATTTAAATTGCTAACAATTTTGAATTGCATTATAGAGTTTATTTTGTCAAATTCCTAAACTACCTATAACTTTTTAACTTTCTTACGCTTTGTGATCATATATATACATGTATATGTAAATTAAACTATTTCTCGGTGTCAATTTAAGGAAAACAATTATAAATTTTAATGGAATACCAACTAATCAATGTAGCTTATTTTATATAAAATCATATTTAAATGTATATAATCAATTATCAATTATTTAGTTAAGTAAACATAACATTCACACACACACAGTATAATTTACAACAGAGACACGTACTCATTGTTGCCTATTTATTTACAATCATTATTATTATTTATTTTTTATATATGTCTTATAAATAAAATTAAGTTTTTCTATAATATAAATATTTTATTATATTTATATTTTATCTTTTTAACTTAAATTTTAAATTTTAATTATAGTTCTGTTTTGAAGGAATTAAAATATTATTTACAATTTCTCAAGTAAAAAATTTAAAAACCATTTTATATTAATAAAATTGTGTATATCAAATAAAAATACTAAAAGTATGTAATAATATAGTTGTAAATAGCTTTAAATATATAATATAACAGCCAGGGGTGATCTATTTTCTGGTGTAACATATTAACCATCTTCAATTAAAAGAAAAACTATACTAATGACTGAAAGTATATAGAATACCTAACCTTAATGTATATCAATTAAAGATTAAGGAGTAAAATGCATTAACAGATTAAATTATTTTATTGAAAGTTGAATATCATAGATCAAAAGAAGATAAAACGGTAAAGACTTAAATGCAATTTATTTATATATATTAAAAATGAATGGCTCTTAATTTTATTATATTACTTTTATGTATATATATGTATGTATATATGTATTATTGTTATAATTATTTTTCTTCCCAATGTATATATAAACTAAAATTCAACATAGCTGGAAAATAGGTTTAAATATAATAGTTTAATAAAAACGGTAAAAAAACAATAATAGAATCTTTTGAAACTAATTTATTTAAAATATACTTAAAACATGCCTTACATGGTTTCTTTGTACAAATATTTGAATGAAACTTTGTTTACGAACACCCTTAAAAATATTTAAAAATTTTACTTTATCCTACGTCAAAAAAACTAATGCAGCTAAAATGTATATAGTGTACGAGTATGTTAAGTTTTTTAAATATTTATGTAAGTTAATTGGGTAAAGTTTAATTTGATTTAAAAATATTAATATACATATATATAATAATAAACAACACTAATAACAATTATTTATTACATATACGATTATATGAAATTAATTGATTATATGCGCTACATTCAATATCAGAAAACCTAAAAACATTCGGTAATATAAAAATAAAATATTTACTAAAAACGAAATAACAGATTCAATTAAAATCGTATATACATTGGAATAGAGTGCAAATTACAGTAAATAATGATATAAGTAGATCATACTATATAAAAACTTCTAAATGCACATTATACAAATATATTAAATATAATAAAATAATCCTTAACCTACTAAACCGAGTTTATTATTATTATGTTGAGGCTAGTTGAGTCAGCACTTTAACTCTCAATTAACTGCGAGGTTTCTTCATAACCCCTCTCTACGCCCTTACTGGATTATTGTTTATCACTTCATCAGCCTAAGCAATAATTGACCTCAGATCTGCATACCTCCCCGAGGAGCCTGTAGCCATCTTGAGATTCGATAACGCGGTGTTGGTAAGCCAGTTTCGTCAGTTGTCAGTTTTCGTAGATACTGTTTTCAATATAGCGTAGTTCACAGTAGTTCAACAGTCAATTTTATTGATCAAAAGTCCTAAAATTTCAGGACGTATTGACAAAATCTTTTATAAATATTCTAATTGGTCCAAATACCAAAATATATGTAAAACTATTATTATTAAGGAGTCGACAATAGTGTAAAGTTGGGTATTTTTCTAATTTGAAAAAATAGAATATAGGTAAAAGTCAAGTACGGCTTTGTGTCAGTTGGTTAAGGTGTGCTGATTTCGAGCTTCAAGTTTGGCAGGTCACGAGTTCAATCCCTGGTACTTGCAGTCTCAAAAAAATTATTTACGAATAATTAAATACAAGAATTATTTCCAAGACCACTGATGATGGGTATTTGGCAATACTCGAAACAGCTGGCTGTTATGGTTAGCCAAAAATTCAATTAATTAAAATAATATAAAGCGAATTTTTGTTGTTGTGGTTCGCTACTGTTGAAAAAACCTCTTTAAAAAATTGAATGTTGTTTAATTTTTAAGTAATTATACCAAACATCCTTAAAAGTCATTGATTTAGACTTTTTAATTAGTTTTTGTTAATGAATAACATTTCTTTGAAAAAAATTGTTTAAAAAAATATTTTATTGTTTCAACAATTATATTATTATCTTTAAAAGGTCAGGACAGGCTAATTAGAAGAATCTATCGTCCTATTGCTGAACTGTCTATTGTCTGGCTTATTAGATTCGTTAGAGCTTTGTAGAGATCAGAGTCTTGTAGAGCTAAATTAGAATTCTGTTCAAAAGGACAGATACAATAGTATGGTTTTAAAATTGAGTAAACATTTAAAATAAAATTAGAGGCAGGGGGAGGGCGCTCGCCTGCCCCTCAAAATGTTATTATTGTTTTGAATAAACATTTAATATCGTTCACAAGAAAAGTTTAAAATTTGTCTTTTTTTGTGAACAAAATCTAATTTTCAAGTTTTCAATGAACTAGGGGTGAAATATACTAGCTAACATAATATAAGCCAAAAAGAAAAAGAAAAAAGTACTAAAGTGGGGTGCCTTAGCACACTTTACAATATATAATATCATATCAGTATAATTTCGGACCTGGGTACACCCATGCTTAGGGTCATGTTATGTAGAGTGTCATGACCTCGTCAAAATAAAAGTTGTTGTTGCTTTCAATTCAAATTAAAATACTAAAAATGAGAGAAAAACATATGTCGGCTAAAATTTGGGAACCGAGGCTGTCTGTGCCTCGTCACAAAGCAGTGTTATTCAGTAATATATGTTATGTCATTTGTGTCTTTTAGAAGCAAATTATTACAATTTCTGTGAGCCTCTGCATAACATGCGTTTTCGTCATTGCCCAAAAGAGCCAATTTTCACGAATACATGACCCTCTACATAACATGGCCCTAAATAAAATTTTAATGGTTTAAACTTCTTCTTCTAATGCGAGTTAGTTTCTTAAGCATTTTTACTCAATAGAGTTTGTGACCATTTGCACTGTAATAAGAGCTTCATAGAGTTTTGATAATAAGTTATTCAGATGAGTTTATAGTATAAGACTTTGAAGGCCACCATATCTTCCTGACGGAATATATATTGCATTTGATTTGAGAGAGAGCAATTCTGAATTAATGTGCGCTTCTACAGAATCGAACAATTTCAGCGTCCTGCCTTTGATATACGTCTGTACATTCGCTCAAGTTTTTGTGTATGTCTTCATTTCTGATGTATCATGAAATATTTAGCATTTAGTTATCTTAAAAGTCAATTTCTTGACCTTATATTCTCGAACCAAGTGTATCTTTTGTCAAAACTTAGACCTAACTATTTTTTATTGTCATCCCCTTCTCTTTCCACATTATTATCATTCCTTCGATTTTGATTTTTATGTATTGTATGTTTTGATTTCTATGTATGTTAATTACATAACATTCGTCTTTACAGCATTTACTATAATTCTCCACCTTCGAAAGTAACTCATTATCTTATTAATACGCAGCTCTAAATTGCGAACAACAGAATTAGCATTTTTGTTAGCATGCATAATGTAGATATCGTTAGCAAAAAGCGAAATTGTGTTTACAGATTCCAAAGATAAATCTGCTATGTATAAATTATACAATAAAGAAGGTAATGGGGATTCTTGAGGTACTCTAACTTTAAATTTTTCTGTTCTTTGGGATTGATATCTTTAGTCATAAGTATGTATATTTTTGAGCTTTGCCAGTACAAATTTTTAGTATTGACAAATTTATAGGTCTCCAATTTTCAAGCAAAGAAAGGTCTTT